CTAGGGCTGCACGATTAATCGCATGCGATATTTAACGCGCATCTTGTCAGAAAGCCGGTTCTGTAATCAGCGGTAAATCTCCATCACCTGCGGGCTTTCACATTGAGCAGCATTAACTACACAGAGCCGTTGTTCACTGAGAGCTGCGCTAAAAATCGCGCAAATATGAACGTGGTTTGGCGCAGCTCTCAGTGAACAACGGCTCTGTGTAGTTAATGCTGCTCCATGTGAAAGCCCGCAGGTGATGGAGATTTACCGCTGATTACAGAACCGGCTTTCTGACAAGATGCGCGTTAAATATCGCATGCGATTAATCGTGCAGCCCTAGAAAATACCACGTAAACTTTTCTAAAGACAGTCAGTTCCCCTCAGACATACATTCATATAAACCCTCTCAAACGATTTGAATCATCACATATTTAAACCGGCTCGCAGTTCATAGTTACATCCCTAGTCCCCGTTTAAATAGCTAAGTAAATGTGTGTGTGTGTGTGTGTGTGTGTGTGTATGCTGACATGTTGATGTCTTTCTCTTGCATCTCAGTCGACCACAGTCGTGTGAAGTTGACGTTAAAAACATCCAACCAGGACACTGATTACATCAATGCAAACTTCATCAAGGTACTGAAGACTTGCTGTGCTTCTCTGTGTCCTTTCCTGTCTCTGTGTCTGTGTGTCTGTGTGTCTGTGTCTGTGTGTGTCTGTGTCTGTGTGTGTCTGTCTGTGTGTGTCTGTCTGTGTGTGTGTGTCTGTGTGTGTGTCTGTGTGTCTGTGTCTGTCTGTGTGTGTGTGTGTCTGTCTGTGTGTGTCTGTGTGTGTGTCTGTCTGTGTGCGTGCGTGCGTGCGTCTGTGTCTGTCTGTGTGTGTGTGTGTGTGTGTGTGCGCCATTGTAATTACACTACCCAAAACTTCTGCAAAACTGTTGCTTTCTTGGCTCTTGAACTAAAGTATTTCTTCTTCTGATGTGACACACAGTGAACCATCACATAGACTCTGATCTAAACAGTCTGATGAGACTTTCAGGACTGTAAGCCGTGTCTTTGGTCAGATCTGATCGTGTGTGTGTGTGTGTGTGTGTGTGTGTGTGAGTGAGTGAGTCTGTGTGTGTGTGAGTCTGTGAGTGTGTGAGTGTTCTCTTAAGTGACACATGACTTCTGTTGCGCAGGTCATCGTGATGGCGTGTCGAGAGTTTGAGATGGGGCGGGTAAGAATGATTTCAATGTGGATTCTCTGCTTTAGCCATAAAAGCTTCGACACACAGACTCAAACAATTTCTTCACTCGCTTTCCTGTGCAGAAAAAGTGCGAGCGTTACTTCCCGCAGTTTGGAGATGAGCCTGTGACGTTTGGTCCCTTCAGGATCTCCTGTGTGAGTCCACATTACACTTCCCAGCAAGAAACGCATTGAGCCTGCAGCCGTAGCGACAGATGTTGTTATTCACATGAATGCGTCCACACTGGAACTCGATGTGGCTTAAATCTGATTGTTCTCAGTCAGTCGATGACGGTGTAAACAGCTGAAGCGCATTAAATTTGACATCTTCAAATGGGATCTGAACTTCATATGCAGGAATAAGACGTATCTGTTTTCCCCCCAGTGTGCCTTCAGCTTGGCCAGCAGTCAGCTTTACTGTAATTTTACATCAGTACAGATATTAGGCATGCTATGTTTGCAGATTTTTAAATATGAATCTTTTTTGTTTGTTACCAGCTTAAGTCCCAGTTATGTGCTTTCAGGATTCATGTTTGAGATTTACCCACATCACAGAAAACACAAACTGTATCAAATGCATCAAGCTGGTCCATGCAGATCTGAATAAGTTAATAACAACTGTTCTTAACTAACCTAAGAACTGTTCATCCGTATTCAGGAGTCTGAGCAGCCAAGGACAGATTATTTTATCCGCACACTCGCAGTGGAGTTTGATCACGTGAGTCTGTCTGTCTGTCTGTCTGTCTGTCTGTCTGTCTGTCTGTCTGTCTGTCTCTCTG